TCCCCAGCCAGCATGCTGGCTGGGGAATTCTGGGAGTTGACGTCCACACGTCTTAAAGTTGATAAGGCTGAGAAACAGTGGTCTGGCGTCTTTGTACAGACAGCCGTTTCTGCTGGTCACCTCATTTAATCTCAGCCTAATGCTGGTGGCTTGCTGAACTCTGCACTAAAGCAGAGAAGACAGAGCCGTCAATTAGCAAGAACTTTTGATAAATGATCAGGTCATCTCATTGTTAACTAGTAGAACGGTTGACCGAATGCACTTTGTCTGAAAAAGTTTGCTTTTTATGCAGAACAGGATCTGGACAAATTCAAAATACCGAAAGATCCTTCCGGGTTTTCTTTAAATTTTCTTTACGTTATTTTATTAATAAATTTTATTTTCATAACGGACAATATGGCCTTCATAAATAGTTCCGCCTTCCTAGAGATGCTCTTTGTTACCTCCGCCACACTCTCCGATGAGCTGTCCAAGGCATAACCGGGTGAGGAGCAGACCCTGCCGAAAAGAGCAGCAAAGGCAGTTATCTTACGGGGCTGCTATGGTGTTCCAAGAGCCAAAGTAGAGAAGCTGTGCGGCTACAGACATACTGTCCCGTGTACCTTTCAGGCGTCTGAAGCTTGAAGGGGTGTGGAGAGACAAGACCGGGCGTTGCTGGAGGACTGTGGAGGCTGCTGGAAACTTCAGGCCATGGGGCACACTAAGGAAAAGCATAGGAAGAAATAGGTTGGAGGAGAGAAATGTTAGATCCTGGAATTTGCACTGTGCAATTGCTGAATTTAAAGCAAGTTTACCGTTCTGAAATGGAGCAGAAAACTCTGGGAGAGGTCATGGCTGGTTGGCGTACTGGACTTGAATATACCACGTGGCATTTCACTGCATGCTTCACTAGCAAAGGTATGGGCACATCAGATGTGTTTTGTGTAATCCCAGCTCTTACAGTGTGTACAGCGTAACTTATGGTTTAGTGAAGTAAGTGAGTTCAGCCATTGTGGCTTGTTCAACAAACCATTGTTAAAACAAACCAAGGCTTTGTGAAGATGTGTGAATATATATAGCATGTCTGTCAATCCCAGATTTTGGAGACTACAGCAAGGGAGGCCCATCACTTTCATATCCTCTTAGTGAGCTTCCAGAGATACTTTGCTGGTTGACAGTAAATAAGGAATTGTTCTCTATTAAAGCTAAAAGATTTACTGTACTACCAAAAAGAAATAAACATAGATCATGTGAAATGTTATTTTTGCCTTTTATTTCCATTCCATAAATTAACCTCTACAGGGTATCCTTCTTGGACTGACTTCTCATGTTGCTAATGCAAGCAAGCTTTCAAATCACACCAAGCATTTTGGCAAGACAGCGGCTGGGATGAGAGAAGAAGCACGTGTACCTCTGTTAATACTGTGCTGTCATAGGAAGGCTGGTACTTCTCCCGCTCCTGAAGGGACTGTTTTTCAATCTTCTCCCTATCTGTTTTTTGTTTCCGGTCGGCTCCTTTGGGCTGGGGAAAAAAAACCCTCACTTAGAATATAACAGATATTCAGGAATACTGACACGTCAGCTAATCATGCAACTCATGTGACTTCTCTGCAGACAGTTAGTGTGGAGGTGGAACATGTGAACCATCTCTTGATGGTTTTGTCTTCCAAACAGTGTGAATGTTGTTTCTGGCATGCTAGATCCTTGATGCATGAACGATATTGTCCAAGGCTGTTATCACCCAACAAAAGTGTGTATGGACCAGCCCTTAATTTAGCTGCCATTCACACGTCCCATTTCCAAACAGAAAAGCATGCTTGGCAGCAGTGCTGGCTCAAGGATCAATGGTGCCCCTAGGCCCATGTGAAGATGTGCATTTTTAGAATGGTTTGGAAGGAGGAGCAACGTTGGCATCCCCTAAGCTTTAGCACCCTAGGCCAGTGCCCGCTCAGCCTTAGCCTAAAGCTGGTCCTGCCTGGCAGTGATTTTTTTGCTCTGTCCTGCTTTCACCGTACTGTACTCAGGGCAGGGAAGAGGAATTGCAGTAGGGCTTTCTTGTGAGGGGCCTGCTTTCAGCATCAAGTGTGGTCCTACTGAGTCAGGCAGTACCTTGAAGACTTTGATGAGACAGCTGGCGGAGTGCAAGTGTTCCACGTGTTCATCCTTCTCATTGGACTTGAAGGTGTCCACCTGGATGCGAAAGGGGACCCCTTTTTCCCCACCATTCTTACGAAGTGTGAATTCAGTACTAATGCAATGGACCTGTTTCAGAAAAAGAAAGAGGAAACAGACAAGCCCTCAGTTGGGAGGAGAGCTGCTGGATCAGACCATAAGCATATCTAGCCTAATCTAGTACTTGGTCCCCAAGTGGCCGCTGCAGGACACGGGCACCGTACCATCCCTCACACATCCTTGGTTCCCAATAATTAGTGTGGAGGGGCAATTAACTTACTGGAGGTAATATATAATCACCATAACTAATCAACTTGCTGAAGCCACTGAAATTTATAACTACTCTCACATCTTAGGAAGTTCCCTTTGATCAGCTAGAATGAGTACCAAGGCCATGTTCTAGCTGGTGTTGTTGACCTTGACGGGCAGTAGCTCTACACAGTTTTAGGTCAGAACATTTTTTTTCCTAAAAAAGTTTCCATTGTTACCACCCTGGTTCCTTTCGTGTGGAAAGCAGGTACTTTGGTATTGATCTACAGCCTCTATTTCCCAAGCCAATTTTGCTTCCCCTGTACATAAAAGCTGGGGTAATACAAATCAATTCTTGCAGTTTGAAGGTCTTTTTTTAAGTAGCAAAATGACAAAATGTCATTTGTGCACAGGGGAGTGGAATCAACAGGAAGGGTGGTCACAGGTTTGTCAAAGTATAACAAAAATCGGGGGGGGATAATTGGGGGAGTACCCCTAATATAATCTGTGCGCTCAGTAACCATGAAATGTTGACTAAGTTGGTGAGGAAGAACGAAGAAGAGGGGATGGCTGGAATCCCAAACAAGGAACAATCCATGCTGACCCATCTGGTTGCAAATTCCCCTCTTCCACCTCCACCCTATGAATTTCTATCATCATGCCAATACCCATCTAGCATACATTTCTCTAGGCAGAGAATTTGGGCTTATTTTTTGTAAAGCAGTGACAATTTCAGAATTGTGCAGGAAGCCAAAATGGGGGGAGCTGAATCACGGTATTGGCATGGGCCTGTTGGAATTCTGCTTTTTTCTGATTATGGGGGCTGTCATTGTTTTTAAGCCTGTTAGAGGGTTTGCACTCCCATTCTCATATAAGCGAAGGAAAGGGAAGGGGGACAAAGATAAGCCTACAGACCAACAGGTTGCTACCCACCTGCACAAAGACCGAAGTGCGCTTGGTTGGGTCCCACAGGAATTCCACAGTATTGAGCAAGGTGGAGGGCATGTGGGGCTCCAGAATGCCCACAGACATGGGGATATCTATAACAGGCCAGAAAAGGAGAAACTGGTCAGTACCTTCTCACGGAAAGGGAACAGAGCATCTGGGGGCAGGGCAGAGAGAGCGAATTGTAAGGAATTAGCTGTGGAAATCCCAGTCTGATCAAGTAAAGCAGTGTTGTCCAAACTTGGCCACTTTAAGATGAGTGGACTTCAACTCCCAGA